CGTCACCAAACGCTTTGCCGCATTGCTCAACTTTTTGGGTCTCTTCGAGCTCGGGGATTTCTTCATACATAACCCACTTGTCGTTCGCTGCGCGACACATATATACGTGTTGTCGTTTGTCTTTGGGACGACCTAGGATCTCTTCGATTTCGTCCTCTTGTTCTCGGTGGGGTGGCGCTGGGTAGAGATAGTAGTCTCCGCGACCACTATGGCTTTCCCACGAGCCGCAACAGATCGGCAAATGTATTCATGCCAACTCATTTGCTTTGCTCCTCGGCTCGGTCTGGTTCCCTTGGCGCCAAGGTATCCGCCTCGGCCAGGTCGGTGCTCGAAGCATTTGTACTTTGCTCGGTATCTTCTCGACCACCGCTTTCGGGGGGTGACGTCGGGCTGCTTTCGTGTCTTTGCGGTTCCGCGAATTTCTTCTCTGAGTTCCTCTGCGCATTTAGTCGCCGAAGCGAGCTTCTTTCCGCCAAGATCTTGGCGAAGCCGTTACCACAACCAAATATCTGGTCGGGATTTTCGGTGGACGCCGACCTAATATACCGAGAGAAAGTTCGAAAGACAATAGTATTCAATACAAATTATAAGATTATATCAAAGTTACGAGATACTTACGACTTTCGGAATCACGGAATAACGTGGCGAAGAAGAACGTCTCTTCGACCGCGCGCCGCCCCTACATGCTCGGTGGGTTCCACCGGTCTTTTTCCACCACCGATCTTGGCGTCGGGGTTTGGTGCTCGACACTTCCCCGCTTGTCTTCGTGTTGCGTGGTGGTTGGTGTGATCACTTCTTGTACAGAGGAGCTACCCCGCTCTGTTGACCCCATTTGTCTCCTCCTCTTTCGAGGGATGAGTCGGAAGATGTCCGCATCCTCTCGCTTCATCGTCTCTGCGAAAGGGGGAAGATGGCTGGCGACGTTTGTTGGCAGCTGGCGCTTGCTAGCGACCTTGGCCGTTACATCCTCCCCAACTCCGAGTACCGCCCGATCGGCGTCTTGATGTGGCACCGGTTCTGGGCGGTTGAGCCGCAATTTGCGGCCAATCCACGCCAGGGGCGGAGACACGAAACACCGCCGCTTTCGGTCATGACCATTACTCGGGAAACATAAAGGAGACAACAAATCAATTTTTGTTGCAACATAAATCTACTGGTACAAGGAGGCATCATTTACCTTTGGGGAGGTCGGGCCAGGCTTGAAGGCGTGCTCGATGTCGTTTAACTCGACATAATTGGAGTCGGCTAGATTGAATAGCTCCCCAATTAAGCCTTGATTTCTATCTTGTCGAGCACCTCTTTTTTCGGTCCTCGCTCGGATCTGCGCTACCACAGTACTCGAAGCGGATGTACCCTCTTTGGTAGAGCCGGATCCTTCGGTGATGAAGTTCCCGACCACGCTTGGACCATCCAGCTTTTCCCCACGGATCAACCCGAGCGCTTCTATGATCTCGCTCCAAGTGCTCGGCTTCTCCGACCAATTTGTTCTTCTTCTCCGGAATCAACCCCACGTCACACAGTGATGATCGTGTTCGGCTCTTCATGGATGTAGAACCATTTCTTGTACCATTCGTCCCAAAGAGGTGTTCCATGGGCGGTCACAGGTACTAGGCCTTCATACCGCCACGTAGATTGAGGTATACGCCTCCGGCTATCTTCGAGCCTCCGCTCCCTTTCTTCCGCAGCAGATGTATGGCGAAAAGAGGTCGAAATGGGGGTGAAGCCACCATAAGCTTCATAAAGATGGATGAAGGTGGAGACAAGAAGAATCGAGTTGGGATGCAGATTGCAAATCCCAATCTCGTAATATAAGCAGAGCCCTGAAGGAAAGGGTGCACTGGAACCCCAAAACCCCGCTTGAAGAAATCCTCGAAAACCACAATCTCACCCGGTGTGGATCGGAAAGCTTTTTCCTTCCGGCAAGACGCCATCCCATGAAAGTGCCTTGTTGTGGAGCACTCCCATGGCGGCGAGGTCTTCGATGGTCCGCTCATTGCTCCTTGACTTCCACCACTCCTTCGCCATGATTCCGCCTTTCTTCCGGGCGTTTCTCTTACGCCATTGATCTGCCCTTGTTAAGAGGGTGGATGCGGTGGAGGAGGGATTGGTGGTGATTTTTGGAGGAGTAGGGTTCGGCGAGAGGAAGAAGAAGGTTGCGGCGGTGAATGACAATGGGGATCGGTAAAAAGTAACTTACCAGCTCTATATTATAAATAACCAAGGGCTCCGTCGTTTCGTTCGCCGAGATTCTTGGGAGGCGTCTTGCGCGCGCCATGATGACGTTGTTTTCACAACCTCGAGATCTCGCCAACAAACGCGCCTCTTCGTTTCCGATGTCTGCGCTTTTTCGTTGATAATGTGAGAGGGCCCACATTGACGTATTTCCATACAAAGCGCCAAGCGATCGCTTGCCGAAAAAGAGTAAGAAGGCGAGTGATATGTTATATCCGTCACTTTTTGGACAAGACGTGGCGATTGGACTTGACAGAGTAAGGAGATAAATAAATACACCAAATAATAATACAAGCGGCGTTCTTTTCTTTTGGTTTGCATATCTTGAGCTCAATGATGGACCGGACCAACTGCTGGTTTCTGGGATCGCTTTCGGACCATCGCTGCGTTTTCGCAATCGCCGCACCATCGACCACGCTTGCTTGGGACCGCTCCGCCATTGATGTGCTCGGGGACCGCCCCGACCACCGCTTTCGAGATCGTTCTTCTCGGCTACATGTGATTTGTACTCACATACGGTTGAGAGACATTTATTTAGACCTTGCTACAAGGCTCATACCTCGCCTTCCGGCAAGCTAGGTGACTACATCGATGCGATGCACCGCCGGCAGTGCATCTTGTATCGCTTGTACGACGATTCGCTTTTCAACTTAATTGGGAATTCTTTTTAGACCACGGCACCACGCGCCTCGTCACCTACTACCGTGCTCGGGGACTAAGTGGGCACACTTCACCTTGCGGTGAATGTGTTTGTTTTTCACCCCTACGCCTCGATGATCAAGGACGCTTCGCTCCGAGACGCACTTACATTTCGTTCGTAAATACAAGTGAGCACACTTCCCGGGATTTAAAAATCTTTTTTTTTTTTTTAAGAGCACCATATATTCTTCGGACAACCGACTTCTCCGGCGACAACGGTGGTCGGGGACGTCAAGGACTCAAGCCTTACTTGTCGGAGAAAGGTTAAATGGCGGTCGCAAAGATAATACATGGTGCTCGGGGACTAGCTGTGGGTGTATTAACCCCTATACCCTTATGGCTAAGCTTGGGCTGGCCGGATCGGTGGGTCCGGTCCACCAAAAACGACGACGTCTGGCCCGTTAACTCGATCGAGTCCCGCGCAAGGAGTCAAGGCGGATTTGGCGATCAATCAAGATCCTGGTCGGTTAGAATATGAATCCTTATCCGGCCACATATGGCAATTGTAACTGGCTAGGATTAGTTTCCAGATCTGTAACCCTGCCCTCCGAACTATATAAGGCGGGTAGGGGACCCCTCTAAAAAACATCTCTCATTGACATACAACAATACAAATCAGACGCAGGACGTAGGTATTACGCCTTCTTGGCGGCCGAACCTGGATAAAACCTTGTGTTTGTCTTGCGTCACCGACTTGTTTGTGGCTTACGCATCTGTCTGCCGACAATCTACTACCTTGGGTATACCCCTAGGTAGACTGCCGACCATATTTCGTCGACAGTTACTTTCTGAAAACTTGGTCGCTGTGGTTATGGCTGGAGGGTTTGTGTGCATGTTCACCATATCTTCGTTGCAAACTTTGCTCATTCCATTAAATAAAATGTGGCTTGGCACCTTTTCCTCTCCTCTCCTGAATCCTGATATAAAATCAGCAATTATTATTTCGAGGAATAAACAAAAAAGTTGCTAATTTTTTCCTTATGTACAACCTTTCATTTCAGAGGGCAGCATAGCTGGAGGAACTGCTGGTGTTGTGGTGGAAACAACACTGTATCCAATTGATACTATAAAAACCAGACTTCAGGTAAATATGTTTGCCCCCCCTTGCACATTAGCTTTTTGAATAACACGACATATTTAATAAGAGTGGTGATTTGCTTTGCATACAGAATTCTTATCTAAGTGTGCCTTTAAGGTGCTCCAAATCCTGTTCCAATTATGGTCAAATAAGTGTCTGTCTAGTTTTATAAGTTAATACGTCGTGACATTAAAAAAAACGTAAGTTTTATAAGTTAATACGATGTGACATTAAAAAAAAAACGTAGTGCTTCTAGTTTCTGGCATATATACTTGTAACATGTACATGCTGACTGAAGCTTGAGGTGGAAGCCGGATTGAATGGAAAGGCTTGTATTCTGGATTAGCTGGAAATCTCACTGGCATCCATCCGTGAGTACACGATGTCTCTCCGTCATACTGCATACAATGATCTTGCTTTCCTAAGAGCAATTTCAAGCTGCAATATGTTAACCTATTGTGCCCCAACCTTAAAGTGTCACTGTGTTGTGTATTGAACCAATACTCCAATAGTATGTATGAATTCGTGGTATGCTGCAGTTGTTGGCTTTCTTTCGTATTTATTGGGTAATCTAGTGTTGTTTTACCTTTAACTGACTTCCATGCACCTATTGAGAAGTCATATTCAGTAGTTTAACCTTTTGCAAAGACCCATGAGATGAAATTGCTATATTCTATTCCCAAAGTACCATTGTTCCTGTCTATATGATTTTCATAGCATAATGTGTAATTTATGACAGGGCCTCTGCAATATTTGTCGGGGTGTATGAGCCAACTGAAAGAAAGCTACTGGAGACACTTCCTGAAAATCTGAGTGCAGTTGCCCATTTTGTAAGTTAGACAAGGCTTATTATTTGACATTGCTGTTTATACCATGTACTTTCCTTTTTTTAGCACCTGCACATTTTTGCTTTTACATCACCAAGAATGTTATTTTGTGTCTTCTCTGTGAATTCTTAGTGCCTACTACAGCATACTGATTAATATTGATCATGTCTTTTAAAATGCAACCACTACAGACTGCAGGGGACATTGGAGGTATTGCTGCTTCCCTCGTCCGTGTCCCTACAGAGGTCTGTAATTTTATATCTTACTACTCCAGATAGTGTTGTACTGCATCCAAATTATATCTCACTGCATTCAGGTGGTCAAACAAAGGATGCAAACTGGTCAATTCAAGTCTGCACCTGATGCCGTTCGTCTCATTGTTGCTAAAGAAGAATTTAAAGGACTGTACGCCCTATGTATATTCTGGCATCTTGTTTGGCTATCAAATAACAATCTTTTAAGGTGTAATATTGACTTCTATTTGAAGGATGAATTACTGTTGATCTGATCTGTAGATTTTATTCCTATTTAAAATATATCTTGCAATCTTGTCCATTATAACACTGGTTTCTTTTGGTTTATAGGGTTATGGTTCCTTTCTACTTCGAGATCTTCCATTTGATGCCATTCAATTCTGCATTTATGAGCAACTTCGAATTGGCTACAAAGTTGTGGTACTCTTTCATTGCTGAGACTACTATTTTTTTTTCTCGTATCTGTTGAACTACTCATGAACAATATGTTCAAAGCTTCGAACCACTTTGCAGTGCTAAAATAAGATTGGGCATTCATAAGCTACTCGATGTCCCTGAATGACTTTTGTTTGGTAGGGTCAAAGTTTGTGCTATGATCAGCGTTTTGCTATCTCCTGAAGGCCAGGCAGATGTGATTTGGCATACTACTGTTTTCACCAAAATCTGTTCACACTATTTCTAGGACGGAATGACTTGATTGATTGTTCATATTATTTAGCCTTCACTAAATAGCTTGCTGTAACCAATGTCCAATATAAACTGCAACTTGAACTTTCCATGATTCTTATCATATTTTTTCCACGATTCATTATCCAGAGAATGGTCCAGAGAATGCACTTATTGGTGCTTTTGCTGGTATAACCAAATTGTCACCCTAATCTTTTGGAACTATCACCTTGCTTCCTCAGTATCTAACTGTATTGGGTTGTTTATTTCCTCTTCCCAACAAATCACTTCCATCTACTCTGGGCTTTGACTTTTTGCTAGGCGCCATCACTGGAGCTATAACAACTCCCCTTGATGTCATGAAGACAAGATTGATGGTTCAGGTGAATACTTGTATGATGACTTTCCACACAAATCTCCTTCTGCATTACTGACTGCCCTGTTCGCTTGGCTGATAAGCCATGGCTGAAAGTACTGTCTGATTTGTTGTGAGAGAAAAATACTGTTCGTTAGCTGAAAAAGTACGGCTTATAAGCCAAGCGAACAGGGCTGCCACACCGTCTGAGGCTGCTGCTTGGTCCATATTGGTTGTAATTGCAGGGACAAGGGAACCAATACACTGGAATTGTAAGCTGTGCTCAGACAATCCTCAGAGAAGAAGGCCCTAAGGCATTCTTGAAGGTAAAGCTCCACTTGCGTGAACAGCTTCATTACTCTTAAAATGGAAAACAAGCACTATTTACGTCATGTGAACTGGAAGCTTTTTATGGTCTTTAAACTGTATAAGCTTTTAGATTCCCCATTAGCTAAGTTTTCAATTATGACTTTCGGCTACAGTTTGCTTTATACTATGTTTGGGGCATTTGGCCCAGCATAGGATGCACAGCACAATACAATACAACCATCTTTTTAGTTTGCTGCATTCTGTTGCTTCGCCCCTTTCTTGTGTTGTGCATGCCACAGACATTGTCATCATTTGCCCAGCTGCCGTTTTTTTCAGCTGTCTCTCATGTCTAAAGCTATATTGTGTTCTGAAATTCGTATTCATTCATTCATGTTCTCTGACTAGTGTTGTTGGTGCAGTGGAGCACTAGGCTGATATATTTCTGTTGACACATGGCAGGGCATTGAGCCGCGAGTGCTGTGGATTGGCATCGGTGGGTCCATCTTTGGTGTGCTGGAGAAAACCAAGTCGATGCTAGCGGAGAAGAGGAACCGCGAGCTACGGGCCGTCAAGGACGAATGAGTGAAGATCATCTCTTTTTTTTGGCGTTGAATCCCTATCCTGTGAAACTAGATAAACAAAATACACAGTACTTGCCGGGGCCCGGGGGTGCTTCAGGGACACGAAAGCTCTCGGGCCAGCCTTCTATGACTCCACGGCGTTCACGTTATCTAGAAAAGCCAAAACATCTTCTAATTAGAAACTGATGATGTATATGGCAGAGCATCTAAAACTGCAAAATATTTTTGGACCTGGTTTATTTCATCACCCTAAACATATTTAACTGATGCGGCATTCTTGAAAACAGTGAGAGTGGCCATTGCCAATGTCCTAAATCTTTCGGGTTCTTGATACTGATGATAGTATATTTTTACTTTTTTTCTCTCCCCTGACCCCGAGGAAGAAGAGGTCCGGCCTCCAGTGTCCAGGGAGGTCAAGTAAATTGTGGGTTGTTGCTGACCGCTGAGTGCGGCAAATTATTGGTTTGCTGGATCAGCTTTTGCTTTGAGACGTGGAGCGTAATACTGAGGCGTCGGCTGTTTCACTTGGATGTCGCTGTTATCTCAATGGGATACGATTGTACTGGTGAATCGCGCCGGGCAAATTGTAGCTGTAGGAGTTGACAGGAGGAAAGACGTCACAGGATCTTGGCTTGGTTACCTTTGGGCACTGAGGCCCGTTTAGATTCCAAAAATTTTTACGTAATACTCGTCACATCGAATCTTGCGGCACATGTATGGAGTACTAAATGTAGACGAAAAAAAAACTAATTGCACAGTTGGGTGAGAAATCACGAGATGAAACTTTTAAACATAATTAGTACATAATTAGATACTAATTGACAAATACAAACGGAGGTGCTACAGTAACCAAAATCCAAAATTTTTTGATCTGAACAGGGCCTAAACAAAGTAATCAGAAAAAGCCGATGATGTGCAGGCGTTGGCAACAAGACACATATTTGTCTGGGGAGCAGCAGCAACTACAGGAAATCACGCGGCGTGTCGATCTGATGGCACACCTCTTAATGCTGACGATTTACATGGATCGGTTTGCATGAATAATGCATGCCATGTCACTGCTAGTATGGTGTCAATTAAGGACCAAGTTAGGGTTGTAAATAAATATGTTACTAGAGCCATGGATCATCCAAAGTTGACAGGAGTGTTGACATCCTCTCTCTGATCCGTTGACAGTTTGACACAAGTCTGTTCGTTTCGGCTGAATTTGTTATGGTTCTGTAGATCGACTAGGGTAGATCTAGGCGGATGAACACTTTGGATCCGTAAAGCACATACACATCTAGACCTAGAACACTACACCGAGAGGGAGATAGGGTAGAGGTACTGGTGTTGAACCTGAGCCTTCGGAGGAAGTCGCGGTTGAGCTGGCCATCGCTGGTTCGTTGATGGAGGCAAAGACACGGGCAAATGACGGCCGGAGTAGAGGTTGCACGCAGACGTCGATGCAAAGGTGCAACGGATGGCGTGCAGCGATGACGACGGCGAAGTCGGTAGAGCTTCCGTCAGCTAGTCTGCGCCCTCTTAGATCGGTCTAGGGTTTGTCGGTGGGGTTTATGGCTCACGGCGAACCTCGTGCTTTGAGCCGCCGCCCCCATCTTTTATATATAGCGCGAAGGACGGGGCCCACCAACCATGTAGGGTTGGGCATCCCCGATCGTATGCGCATGACCAAGGCCCAATAGGTCGTTGGGCTTATTGGTTAGAGATCAATCTAACATTCTCCCCTTGATCTCACTATTACTTTTATCTTTAAACTTTAAACTTCATTCCTTTTATCCTTACTCATTTCTTCACAGATGATGCATAGAGCATGTCTCATCGTCACGGTCAATCGCCGATAGATTTAATAGCTACAATGCACGCCTCTCGATCTGAAATAGTTACTTTAACTTTTGGGCCCTTTATAGTCCAGAATCATAGGCTTTCCTTAAACCCATGCCGGCTACATGTTCTCTCGAACACGTTGGGTGGTAAGCCTTTTGTAAGCGGATCCGCGAGCATCTTTTCGGTACTTATATGCTCAAGACTTATCATTTGATCCCGGACTTTATCCTTCACAACATAATACTTTATGTCAATGTGTTTGGCAGCACCACTTGACCTATTGTTGTGAGCATACTGTACTGCTGGATTATTATCGCAGTATAACTTCGATGGTCTATTGATGTCGCCAACCACCTTCAAACCGGTATGAACTTCTTTAGCCGCCACCTTACCTGCCTGCTGCCTCATAACACGCTACAAACTCGGCATACATTATGGACGATGTAGTGACGGTTTGCTTTGAGTTTTTCATGAAATAGCTCCCCTGCGAGAGTGAACACATATCCGGACATGGATTTTCTATTATCTCCGCATAATCGAAATCTGAATATCCCACTATATGGAGTGAATCGGATCTTCTATCGTCACGCCATCATGAGGCCTTTCGTTCCTTTGCAAATAACGTAAGACTTTCTTTACCAATTTCAGGTGTTCTATTCCGTGATTGCTCGAATCGCCAAAACCCGGTAACAAATGCCAAGTCGACGCTGCATACACACTTGAGCATATTGCAAGCTTCCGACAACCTGAAGCATATGGAACCACTTTCATTTGATCGATCTCATATTGTTTCTGGGGCATTGAAAATCCCCATATCTGTCGCCCTTGACTATAGGAGCGGTGAGGGACTACATTTGTGCATACCGAATTTCTTTAAGACTTTTTCTATGTATGCCTTTTGTGATAGTCCTAATACCCCTTTACTTCTATCTCGGTGAATCTCGATCCCTAGAACGAACGAAGCTTCACCAAGATCTTTCATATCAAATTTTGAGGACAAAAACTTCTTTGTCTCCAGTAGTAAACTGACATCACTACTAGCAAGTAAGATATCATCCACATACAGGACAAGGAAGATAAACTTCCCATTCTTAAACTTTGCGTAGACACAATTGTCCTCAACATTATCTTTAAACCCAAAATTCTTTATTGTCTGATCAAACTTCAAGTACCACTGTCTTGAAGCTTGTTTTAATCCATAAATGGATTTCTTTAGGCGGCATCCCAAACGTTCTTTTCCTTCCATGACAAAACCTTTCGGTTGTGCCATGTAAACATTTTCCTCTAAGTCTCCGTTGAGAAATGCCGTCTTTACATCCATCTGATGTAATTCTAAATCGTAATGTGCCACTAATGCCATTATGATTCTGAAGGAATCCTTACATGAGACTAGAGAAAAAGTCTCATTGTAATCAATCTCTTCTCTTTGTGTAAAGCCTTTTGCCACAAGTCGGGCTTTATATCTCTCTATATTCCCTTGAGAGTCAAGTTTTGTTTTGTAGACCCATTTACGACCCTCTTTGTTTTGGCTCCTTTAGAATTATCTCCAAATCCCAAACTTTATTTGCATTCATTGATCTCATCTCATCTTCCATGGCCTCAAGCCACTTTGATGAATGATCACTTTTCATGGCTTCTTCAAATGAGGTGGGATCATTCTCCATTTGAAATTCTTCAGTGTTGTACACTTTATAATCAAAGATGAATAGCTGATTTTTAACTCTTTGAGACCTTCTAGGGGCCTCCTCATTTGGCACATTTTCTGCTTGAGGTCATTGTTGCTCCCCCTCATGTGTGGCAATAGTTTCTATAGGATCCTGAGGAACAGATTCCTCATCATCATTCATTGTTGCCACAGGCGGGATAACAACAGGTGTTGGCACCACAGTGTCTTGTATTGTCGGTGCAAAGAACAAAGTAGTAGTGAGAAAATGGCTCATGAATTATTGGAGTGGGTGCATACACCCGCTTTTCTTCAAGGTCAATTTCTCGAGCTACCATGCTCCCCTAATCATTTCATCCTCTAGGAAGACAAGCAGTGTCTCGTTTTCACAAACTTTGTATGTCTCATAGGGGCAAGAAAACGAAAACCTTTTGACTTTTCTCGGTAGCCAATGAAATGGCAACTCACCGCTTTGGGATCTAGCTTCCCAATGTTTGGGTTAAAAACTTTAGCCTCAAAGTGAGGCTCCCCACACACGCAAGTGGTTAAGTGAGGGTACTCTTCCATCCACAACTCATACGGTGTTTTGGGCACCGACTTACTTGGTACTCTATTGAGAATATGAATAGCGGTTTTAACGCCTCTATCCACAGAACTCATCGGTAAAGTGAAGTAACTTATCATACTACGCACCATATCCATCGTGGTATGGTTTCGCCTTTCACTACTCCATTCTCACGAGGTTCGCCCGGTGTTGAATCTTCGGCGACTATACCATTCTCTGTAAGAACCTTGCAAAAGGTCCAGGAACTTGTCCATATGGGGTATGCCGACCGTAGTACTCTCCCCCACGGTCAGACCTGACTATCTTAATCTTTAAATCATGCTGATTTTCAACTTCTGCTTTAAATATTTTAAATTTATCCAACGCTTCTGTTCTTTCTTTAATTGGATAAATGTAGCCAAACCGAGAGTAATCATCTGTGAATGTTATGAATGAATCATAACCATCCATACTTTTCACAGGAAAAGGACCACATATATCTGTGTGAATAATCTATAGAATTCCTGCGCTTCGTTTGGCATCTTTCTTAATTTTCTTTACATACTTTCCTTTTATGCAATCTCTACATTGTTCTAAATCTGAGAGCTCTAATGGAGGAAGAATATTATTCTTAACTAGTCTTTCTATTCTCCCCCTCGAAATATGGCCTAAACGACAGTGTCATAATTTCGACAACGTATCGTGAGCTCTCTTTCGTTTTCTGTTTCTATTGTTCGATGAGGATACATTTTCATTCACATCACATACGGAATTCACATTTTCACGAAGTGATAACAAATAAAGCTCGTCTTGTCGGAAGGCAAGACCAACACATTTATTATTAAACAATATCTGACATTTGCCATTTCCAAAATGGCAATCATAACCATCATGGTCCAACTTTGATACACTAATCAGGTTTCTTTGCAAAGAAGGTACATAAAGAACATCTCTAAGAAAAAGTATG